GTCCCTGTAATAAATGGGCGCAGGCGGATAAATTTAAAGTTCCATTCAAAGATTACTCATGGTGAGTGGTTGACATCTCACGGAACGTAAAAATTGTTAATTTTGGATTTCATGCATTGTTGAAGTCTTGTCTCGCCAACCGTGAGAACTGCATAACGGTGCATGCTGTCTTTAAAGTTTATATATAATCATGCCGGAGTCGCAATCTACATAAGAAAACTATTGTTGATCTCAAAACTAGTGTAAAGAGTTACAAACTACGAAGTGATTTCAAACTGTGCTAGGTGTGCCATCGTGATCTCAGTGTCCGTCCTTGACCTAGTTTGCACCTCGCCTGTGTGAAAACTCTGCACACAAGTACGCCAGCTCTCTACCAGCGCCGAGCTATCGCTAGCAAGTTCATTTTTTGTTAAGTGTTATGCGTTACATTACATTGCGGTAGCTGAGTGTGTGTGTGTGTGTGTGTGTGTGTGTGTGTGTGTGTGTTGTATATCATACGAAGGATTGTGTATTGTTCGAAGGTGTCCGCAACCAATGCTCCATTTCAATCTGCCTTACTGAACTATCTTACGAATCCAGCTAGCAATTCTAACTTTTCATACAGGTCATTCCTCTATTATCCCCCGCACTACGCTGGCCATTTTCTTCTTCAGGCACCCGGCAAGTCGCCGCCGGCTAACGAAAGAGCGTCCAAAAGGGTGACCGGCCACGCGCCGGAAGCGGAGAAGCACGCGGCTTCACCTGCTTCGGGCGACCATCTGCCCCCGCCCCCTCCTGGAAACGGGGAAGCACCGACGTCGCGGTAATAATGCTCTAATGCCACACAGAACGCTTGTATTATCCTGGAACCTGTAATATATTTCTGAATTGAATTGAATTAATGGCCTTGGATTTTTACGTGCGAAGAGCTTCGGGCGCATCAGGCCGCTCTCGCGTCTGACCACGCAAATTTCGGCTACGCTCCTTTCACCAAACTAGGAGAGAAATGGAGGTATTTCGTTGGGCGAGAGAAGCAGGCGATTTTTGAATTAAGCTCAGAGGCGTCATTTAGGCTTGAGGGATCTTTTTACATGGCAAGTAAATATACTAACGATGGGACAGCCGGCTTTAACTTCCGCCTGCCGAAGGAAGGCGTTCGAAGGAATTGTTTCGCCCTTAATCAAGAGGAGTCCAAACGGCTCTCGATCGGGGGTTTGCATGATCGCAGCCGCGAGTTTTCCATGATTTCCGTTCATTTCCCTTAGCTTTATTAAGTGGCAAATAGCTTTCAAAATAAATCTATCTAAAATATCTTTTATGTTTGGCATGAAGTCGGCACGGGTTATCTTTATTCAAGTGAAATAATATTTATTATTGGAGTTTCCGAGGTCAAATAGATAAAACTGCGTATCTTATTTTGCGAAAAGTACTTCCTATGTCTTGGGACACCCTAATGTACAGTATGTGTAAGGAGAGAGGAGAAGTCAAGGAAGACAAGGAGGACGCAAAGTTGCGTGGAGTCTGTTCCCCGCTTGTCAGTTATATCATTGCAGTGCCTCTGATCACGAGGCCCTAGGGTTCGATTCCCTACGGCGGGAGGATTTTCGACACTAGCTTCACAGGTAGGTCGAATTCAGTCTCAATTCTAGGTCAGGAGAATTCTGTCCTACGGTCGGTTGCTCTGATCGGTAGTGTTGTGGTTTCTCCGATCAACACCAGACGATTGCTGGAGAAGTACACTAACAAATGGGCCGTAGACCGCGCACGATCTTTCTTTCCCCTTGCTCGTCCTATCTTCACTCCTTACAGAGACATTTACACGAACTGCACATTTCGGTATCTTTGACGTTGTCCCGGATGGAGCTATGCACCACTGATCCTGGTAGGGCAAAATCCTGTAAACCTACATGCTCCAGAATTAAAGTGTTACATGCACTAGAATGTACACAGCAGTTGACAATCCCGAAAACATTAATTAATGAATCAATCGATTGTCCGTTTGCTGGGGTACTGCTGCGGCATTCCGTATGGTATTGATCGGAGGAACCACGGAAAACTGCCAATCACTTCAGGCAGCATCAGGCATCAGCAATCAGCTGGCAGAACTGTCTTTCACAATTTGATGTCGCGAAACCACCAACGTCGTTACACGATCCCTAAGAAATCCCGTTCAGCGATTCTGACGAATTAAGGAGGTCCGTTGGTTTAAAAACAGCGTGCGGATGTCCTTTAATAGCCGAATTTACCAACCATGATTAATATCTTCGATGGTCATCAAACTATTGACGGCCTCTTAATTGCGATATTTACTTTTTTCTATGTCTGAATAACGTCAAAACTTTCGTCAAGTTCTGATGGACCGCTGCCCTGCAATCATTGCCTTTAATGACTCATTAACTCATGTTGTGAAATTGAGGGAAATTATTATTTAACAATTTTGCTGTTGATGTGGCACGTTTATGATAACATGGGAGATACTTTTGACTTTGTATACATGATGATTCATTGCTAGTTGCTAATACGCCGGTATCTTGTCCCTTATGTAATGTAGAGACTGAATTCAACAAATTAGTTGCTCTTCGTCATTTAGTTTTGTAAATAATTAACGAACTTTGGACTACGCGCCTGTGCTCATGTAACAGGGGCTCCGGCAAGGGGGTGAATGGCTTCATCTCGTCTCACCATTTCTCTGGAAAACTTAGGTATTACTACTATCAAAAGCGAGTACAAGGCAAACAGCGCGCGAGGTCACATCAAAGTCCGTCACGTGACTTACAATTTATGCGGAGAGATTACGAACTTTCCATTTACAGCGGGTGCAGCATTTGGGCAGTACAGACTTACAACGTCGTTCTGAATATTCTCGAGGCATAGCCTGCCCAAATACAAAAAACAAACAAAAACGAACAAAGAACAACAGGAATTTCGTGTTTGGTCAGATGAAGCCTTTTTTACAAGAACTGGCACGATTAATGTGCACAATTTACCTGTGAGGGTCGAGGAAATTCACAGGTTACACGCCGTGTTGCCCACCAAGAGCAGTTCTCTGTAATTGTGTTGGATGGCTTTGTGGACGAATTTATCCTCTGCACTCACTGCTTACACGAGCGTTTAAGAGGCATTCAGTATCTTAATTTTATAACTCAGGTACTCCCAACGGTTTTGGCGCTGTGGGTTACTGAAAAGACCGCGTTCATGCTACTGAAGTCGTGATGACCTCCTTCTGCGCATTGAAAGCACGGGGGCAGAAATGAAGGCACAACCCGGCAAAGTTGTGCGCGTCTCAGAGGTCGTGAGGCGCTGATGCCAACCTTGCGTTCGCGCCAATTTTAACTCGTGTTACATGAGTAACTCCTGTTACATGAGGTGAAAATGCGAAATTTTGGTTGCAAAACGCAGATATGATAAACTATCCTAAATAACACTTAATAGTTTTGGACTCTTCTTTCATATTTATTAGATATGTAGCAATAGTAGCAACATGAAACAATATTTATCGTAATATTTGGGCTACGCTTCTTGCAAAAAATGATCGGTGACAATGCACTTTGTTTGAAAATTTTGAATACGGTTTACACTATTTCGTTTTCACTTATTAATTAATCAGTGTACTCTGACACCGGGTACTGTATTAGCAACAAGTTCTTAATCACCCTATATAAAGTATTTAGATTACACGAGTCTAGAATGAGCAATTATTTAAAAAAAATTATGAATTGGACAATGTTCAATTCGTAAGCAGATACAGAATTCCGCAGGCGTTGTTCTTTAAGATTTTAGAATAGAATCGCCTCTGGAAAACTCCACAAACATAAATTAGTCGCTAACACCTATCCAGCAGGTGATTATAGTTTTTAAGGTTTTAAGATTTTATACTACACAACATTTCCACATTACAGTCTCTGATTGCAATTGAATTTTGACATCTACAGGGTAACGTTATGTAAAAAAATAAGTAAATGTGCTTCTTTGCTCTTGAGTCACTACGGAAACATGCGATATTCTTAGGAGTGTCGAGTCCTCAGCAGTAAGGCAAGGCTGTTTTAGAATAGCAAACTTTCTTGGAGATATAGCAACAATACGGCATATACGTGCCAATTTTGTTTTCGGGAAGACAGACAATGTATGAAAATGAATGATTCAGAAAAATGTATTTCATCACAAATTTGGAAAGAATATTAACTTCCTTGAAATATAGATCATGCCTCATTAGTATTCAGTAGTCAACGCGGAATTGTGAAACCTGTCATTGTTATCAAACTGTATACGAAGAAGAAGAATCAACGCATGTTGCTTCATGAATCGTCAAAATAAATACAGCGAAATTTCTACCATAACAGTAACGATGACACGTAAGAGGCATCAAATATTTGACTTTAGTCGAAATGACAATTTCGGATTTGGTGAATATTAGCAAAGTCGGAGGTTAGTCTTACCATTCGCCTGGTGTTGATCGGAGAAACCACGGAAAACTACCGATGAGAACCGCCAGCCCCTAGAATTCTCCTCCAGACTGAATTGGACCTAGCAATCCAGTCTCTGCCGCCATCCCGCCATTGTTGAAACCTAGGAACTTAAGGTCCTAGGACCTCCTGTTCAGAGGCCATCATCGTCGCGACTGCTACCTCCGTCAAAATGCAACCCCCACTTGTTCGAAATTCAAAATCAACTAGCCTATAATCTTGTACTCATTAAGTACTAATTTTGTACCACAATGGAACATTTTGTGCTCAACTACAAACAATAAAAAACTACATCCAAAAGAGGGGGTGCGAGCTTGACCCGCACTTCTCTTGCTGCGTCGCGCCAGGCCGGCGCGCGGGGAGCGGCTGGAGGAGCTGTTGGCTGGGCGTCGGCGCGGCGAGCGGCTGCTGCAGGGGAG